ATTTTGGACATTATCCGTCCAAAACGAAATATAAGAATAGGTCAATTTGAACCTTATCCTGGTTAATTTTTGTCACAACGTTATCTCCGTGACTGAAGTACATGATGATGTACTATGTTGGAACATATCTCATAGTCTTATGGTATATTATAACAGTGTAAAATCTGTCATTTTACAACTGATAGTAATTTCTTTAATGATCTAATAATATATTACATAGGTTAGAKATATTAAATGCCTAAACGGCTAAACATATGATATAGACATCATAGTCGATATTTATTTTACWCCGTTGTTATAAGCTGATCTCGAATGTAAAAAATTGATGTGCTCCGAGCAGCCAAATTTATCCTTCGGGTTAMATTATTAAATCAAACCTTTGAAAATAATTTGAGGTGAGATAAACATGTTCAAATCCAAGATATGCCTAGTTGGAAAATGTCAAAAATAAACATCATCAATGGTTAATTGTACGAATAGGACTTCTATTACCAAAGACTAATAACGATAATAAATCACTTCCTACATTTTCTATGTATATATTATCAAGAGTATCTAAATAAAAATATTATAAAAATATTAACTATAGAGGGACATTGAACAAATACAGTATAAAGATTAACCGATATAATAATAATATTTGCTATTAATATAATATTAACGATGTTTATTATACACCATGTATTATTACAGAGCGTATTATAATAAAATTTAGACATCATTAAATCAACTAATTAAAATAATTTTAATTAAAAATGTTTTAATTAATTAATTAGTTAATTTTCTAATTATCTATACCTACCTACCCAACTTACATAATAATTTAGCTTGAGTGACTAGTTTAATAAATTAGTTTTTCAAATAATTAGAAAAATTAAGTTGAAAATATAGAGTGACATTCCCCGCGATCCCTCTCATGTTTCATCAGTTATGCCAATGTTTTTTTTTTTTTTTAACAGTTGCTTAAAATGTCAACTAAAATAAATTCACAACCATCCACCAATATAATAGGTACACAATTTACATATTTAAAAAAATAATTTGACAATTTTTCTATATCACAAGTTACCTACCTACATCATAATTTATCTTTTATACTTTATTTCATTCTTACTACAGAGCCATACTATAATATATACAGAGACCACTTTAAAATAAATCATATRAAAAACACAGATTTTTAGTTACTCCACTCAAAATTAATTTTAAATATTTAAAATATTAAATCTCCATCATTCAATATCAAGATCGAATAGCAATATTAATTTATCTCTCATCATCGTGATTTTTGCGAAACCGTTATCATAATATAATATTGTTACAACAAATCTTATTCGTTTCCCTAGATCGGCAGTTAAAGTTGTAACCCTTAGGCATTGAGTTTTATCTTTGGAGCTGATGAGATAAGTCACTGTGCCCCACGCCTAGTACTTACTACTTGCACATATTATATACACCACTGTGTACTACACACTATGTACCTACTTAGCTCGACGTGTTACACATAATATATTACCTACCATTACATTTTGTTGTTGTTGTTGTACACGTACCTTGTGCGATTTGTCTGACAATCGGCCGACAAATGCACATTGGCAACGGGCCGATGTTGTGCAGCACGGCCTGTAAGGTGGTGCTCAGTTTCTCCATAACGAAACATATCATTCCCGATTTGAGTCGAACAGTGTCCCTCAGCTGGACGTATCGGGACTGTAACCGGCTTAACTTAACCCTRTTCAAAAATTCTAGTTCCTTGAAGTACAGTTCCAACCATGATTTACCGGAGCCATAATTATTCAGCGCCTTGATCACCACCGCGGTGCCCGAGACCACTTCCGATGCATTGTAGACACGAGAGAAACTTCCGGTGCCGATCATTTTGTGCACCATGTACGACGCGTTGAAGGACTGGAYGATCGTRTTCTGCTGGAGAACGTTCCCTTTATTTGTTGCGGTCGACGCCATCTATTATAGTGATATTTATTATGGTAGATAGTAGGAAATCGTAAATATTTCAAAACTTTTTTATATCAAAATTCTAATTCCAAGACCAAAATACATAGAATTTTTTGTAATTGAGAGTTTCTAGTATTATTGAGTTTCAAATTATAACACAATTACCAAAGCAGAATGATTTTATAAWGTTTAGCAGTAGTTTATCATTACGATAATAAAATCAATTAACCACATTTAATTACCAAATAGATACATAAATAACCTCGTAAAATATTTGGAGCGCTTTTTCTACTAAAGTCAAATGCATCACTGTCGAAATAAAAAAAGAAACAGATATTTTTGATTCARTATATTTTTCACTCAACTYGAATAAAAAAAAAAGGTTAACACTAAAATATTRTGTAAATTTTTTTTTACGTGTAAAACATGAACTCATCCGCTCAAYCTCCTCATCTAATTTGTCAGTAAAATTCAATAAATTTACTCTTTAAACCTTGAACAAGAATACAATCCAATAAATAATAATTTATTATCAATGATGAACGAGATTTTTTCATTTTTACTAAAACTACATTTAACAGAACATTTTTCATAGTAGAAAATATTGAAAAGAAAAACCCATTTTTATTAACCCAAATTAATTTAACTTTATACATAATCGTTTATCATAGCAATCATAATATTCAAACATATCTGAATTACACCCCATGAAGGAAGTATTTATATTTTKATATAATAAAGAAAGTGATTAAAATAATAGCATTAAAAACAATTTGGGCATGTTGAATAAAGTTGTATTTTGTCAGAATCTTTGTACGATATAAGCACTTAGAATCGATTCTTAAGAGTGTTTTGTCCAACTCTGTATTCCATCAATGTGCATCAAAAGAAACTGGAGGTATTTTTTAAATACACGAATAATTTTATTATGTATTATGTATGATAGATATGGAATAATCTGAAAACTATTAAACAAAACGAGTCCTAACAAAGAGTCACAACACAATAGAATATCTAAAAAAAAAAAAATAGAAATTAAAATCGCTTTTTAAAATGTGTATTAGTACTTGGTTATATTGTTTATAACCAACCTGCAATTATTATTAATTACTTAGCCGAGTACATCCGGCACATTGCTCGATAAAATAATAATATTCGTAGGAAAACGAAATAACAACCACGACTGGCGAACATATAGGTGACAACTATTAACAAATATATTATACGGACACACAAAAAACGGTTGCTGTCATAAACCTAGATGCGTTAAATGCGGTGAAAATCAACTCACGGAAGACTGTTCCAAAGACTGCAACAGTCCCGCCAAATGCGCCCTATGTAGTGGGGACCACACTGCCAACTTTAAGGGATGTCCAGTATACGAGTACAAGGCAGCTTCCCAAAAACCTGCTCCAAAAATTCCTCCAACTAAGCGYCCTGARTTCAAAGATAACTGCACAGCAAAATCTTACGCAGAARCCACCAAACAACAACAAAACACACATACAGAAAAATTCAYCGACACCTGTTCCATGTTTATATCTAATTTAAGCTCATTAATCAATCCTCTTATCTCCCCACTCTACGCAGTACTAAATACTCTCATTGCCAAAGGCAATATTTCCCCATAATTACATTTGTCT